GGGGGGGGGGGGGGGGGAGCAGGAATAGGAGAGCATGCATTAGTCTCTTAAAAAATGATGAGTCTCTGAAAATGGTTGGCATACTTACACACTTAACATTACTAAAATCTAAGTCTATTTCACTGGCGCACGCGTCCAAGTGGTGCAGAAGTCGCTGTTTCACGCTTGTGTCTGAGATATCTTTTACTCCTTCGTACAATTCAGCTGACTCTAGGAACTGCCGCACCTATGGCAAAATAATAAAAAAGAGAACGTGAAATAAGTACTCTAATTTTTCATAAAAAATCTAATTTTAATTTTACTCATTTTTTCATTTTAAGAATTGGTATATATGTATTTTTTTAAATTTTCTTTTTCTAGGATGGCGATTTGCTCACAAAGTCTTTTAAAATGGGTACACTGATCTTGTTTGAGCTTCATGGGAAATTTCAGGTAGCTAAAGTTCGATAAAAACTTTACCTCACCTTCCTGAAGTTCGCGGTTGGCGCATGAAAAAAAAAAATCTTACTTATCCCGAAGGTAACGCTTTTTTATTTAAGTAATTCCACTACTGAATCAGTCATTCTCGAAAGACTGAAGCACTAGAAATGAAAATTCAAGAACAGTCAGTATACACTGTATTTATTGACCTGTTTTAAATCTTAGATCGAGTAATAATGTGATTAATCTAATGCTAAAAACTAAAGGCTCTAAATTCTCAGATCTATGTGATTTCAAACGGATGATTTAAACTTTTGTGAGTATGTGTGTGTTTCTCTCGTATTTTAATTTTGGCGCTTGAGTTTTTTTGAGAACGTCTTATTCAACTCATATTTGGACTGCATTTTGCTATTTGGAACTATAAATTCTGGCTCTTCTGGAAAAACACTTATGCGCACAGGGAAACTAATGGCACATACGTTGTTTTTATACTAGGCGAGAATTTATAGTTCCAAATTGCAAAATGCAGTCCATTTTATGTGCAATGTTTTGAAGAATCAAGTTGACGCTTCGCTTATTGGCGGAACACATCGTATCAATAAACACGACTTCCGCTAATAATAAAAATAATGATAATAAGTAAATATAAAAATAAACTTAGGTAATAAAATCGAAGTTCGTCATCTAGTACAAAGTGAGTACACATTTTTATGACCACACTACAAATCCTTCCCTAGTGACTCAACTATCGTGAGAATGTCATCAGTGGCGTGGCGTGCTTTGCGATATATCGATAGATCGGTCATTTAAACCTATGGAAAAGTATCGATAAACAGAGTGTTTGCAGCGAACACCTTAATAATCGATTATTTAACACAGCTTCAAATGGGGAAATATCGATCGGTCGCAAAGTACTCCACGCCATTGAATGTCATTGAGATATCCAGCACGCGATTCCGTTTCGTCTATCGAGCTCGTACCTAAAGTTGACAACGTTGCATTTGCATAATGCGTTCAATCTTTTCCTTTTATCACTGCCCTCATTAAAAAACAGCCCGACCTAATCTCTTATAATTCAACGTCTCTAATTATTTAATTTTACTTATTTCATAAATTAATTATATTTACTCAGTGATCACGGTTTTCAACGGAAAGAAGTCGTACTCCAGGCCTTTGTAATAGCCCTACTAGAGCAAAATTATTTATTCTAGCTCTAAAAAAATGAAGCTGAATTCCCGCCAAGGCGGAATGTCAGGTTACGCATTAATTAAAGAGTTTGCCCACTGCGTTCGGAAAGTTAGAACTTGCCGGAACGTCTCCAGGTCGTGCGAGAATTCGCCTATTTTACACAGTTTGAATACTGAATGATGACAAATGTTTGAGGTTACGGCCAATTCAAGTCTAGCACGAGAGACTTTTGTTGCTTCATATGGATCGCATTCAGCAAACAGGAACCAGCGCGATTACAGTGTTTTCAAAATTGGACAACTTCTTCTTTTCCTTTAAAAATACTCAATATGTGTACAGTATTAAAATGTGCGAAGTTAATTACCTTTAATATTAAAAATTTTTTGGCGAGAGGGAAAAACTATTTGCTATTCTGGGAGGTTTTTAGACAGTTATGAAGAAGCAACATTTTAACAACACTGTAATCGCGCGGGTTCTTTTTTGCAAGATGTGATCCATATATAAAATGTTAAAGTGATTTACGAGGTGCGTCCACAACATTTCTCAGGATTTCTTCTGGTTCGGAAAATTTGAGAAAAACAGACCTAAAAAGGACTTCAAAAGCCGAGAGCGCCTTCAAATCCCGAGGATACACTCCGCTTTGCCACGCAGTTAGTTCAGTTGCCTATCAGGACCAAACCACATTAAGGTCGATGATTTTACTACACGCACTTACGATTCTGCCAACTGGTGCCATACATTCAAGCTTTTTTGATTCCTAGTATAATAATCAGAGCTTCCAGTCTTTTTATTCACTGTCGAATTTTACCATTTTTTTAATTCAACACAAATATTTTGCAATGTGCCGGATTGTGCCCGCTATTTTTAATGACTTGTCAAGGGACTCGTAACCAACTTTGGAAAAAAAACACATTGGATCTAGAGTCCAGACTCTTAAAAACATCGACAAGAAAAATTACTCTTGATTCAATCAGAATCTAGCTTAAATCAAGAACCAAGCCTCTTAATTTAAGCGGATTTCGTTTTGATTCAAGCGAAAATCCGATTGAATCAGGAGTATTTTTTCTTGTCAATGTTTTCAAGAGTCTGGCCTCTAGATCCAATGTGTTTTTTCCCCCAGTGAATGTAAAACTAAAACGTTAATATCTTAGTAATGAGTTGATTTCAGTAATTTTCAATGCAATAATCGTGTTCTTCGTAAAATTCTAGTTATGAAACATATATCAGAACGCTTAAATTCGCACTATGTCCAGTGGTCCATCTCACTCCTTTGACTGTAGAACGACGGCGCGGAGATACAACTATTCGTACGTGATGGACGTCCGTGTTGCATCCGCAAAATAGAAGGCGCTATGCCTGCGCGAGGTGTTTGGTCTCAAAAATATACTATCTTCGGTTTTCCGAGATCCGTTCATTTTCCCTAACTCATCCAAATTTTCCCAGACGGTGGCAACTCTGCCTACCGGAGTGGGCGGTGCCCCCCCCCCCCCCNCCCCCGTTGTGCATCCCAGTGTAAACGCGTCGGTTCGGTGCTCGAAAAAACTCGCCCCCCTCTCGAGAGGGCTCAGCGAGCGAATTTTTCCGGGAATCGGACCGGCGCCCGGATCGTCGGATCGATATCGAAACGAACTAGATCGATATACAGCATTGTCAGGATAGGGATGACTCGATCGAGATATCGATTCGGCATTCGATACGGCCGGAAGTTCGCGAGTTTTCGGCGCGGGATGGTCCGGAGTCGTGGGAGTGGAGGGATGATCGTCGGATCGATATATCGAAACGAACTCGATCGATATAAAGCATTGTCAGGATAGGGATGACTCGATCGAGATATCGATTCAGAGTTCGATACGGCCAGAAGTTCGCGAGTTTTCGGCGCGGGATGGCCCGGAGTCGTGGGAGTGGAGGAGTGATCGTCGGATCGATATCTCGAAACGAACTCGATCGATATAAAGCATCGTTAGGATAGGGATGAACCGATCGAGATATCGATTCAGGCCTCGATTCGGCGGGTTTTCGGCGGGAGGAGTGGGAGTGGAGGATGGCTTACCTCGGTGATGCATTCTTGGAAGCCGGACCTGTATTTATCTTTCACCTCTGAGTTGAGAGTTTTCTCCCTTTGCAAGTGCCGCACGGTTAGCTCCAGGATATCGGCTTTCTCCAACTTCGAGTGCTTCGTTTTCTGCAATAATTAAAAGAAAATGATTATTGAAATCGAGTCGCGGCGAAAGCGCACGCAATTAAGCACTGAGACGAGACGGGGGTATTCAATTTTTCCACTGGTTCCATCGATTATTATGATGCCCCGTTTGAAGCCATGGTAAAGAATCGATTTTGAAGGTGGTTGTTGTAAACACCTTGTTCATTGATTCTTTTCCATAGATTTAAATGGTAGATCAATTGGATTGCATTTTGCAAAAAGGAACCACTAGCATTGCAATGATGCTAAGATTGTGCAACTTCATCCTTTGCAATAAAATTGCGGAAATCGTGAAAAACTATGAAATTTAGATGGTAATTTTTGTTTTAAATTTACAGTTTTTAGCGAGTAAAATAGAAACTATTGATGGATAATCGGGTTTTTCCTCCAAGACAAAAGAAGTTGCACAATCTTAGCAACATTGCAATGCTATGGGTTCCTTTTTGCAAAATGCGATCCAATTGATATATCGCAAAGCACGCCACGCCACTGGAAAAAGAGAGGGGAGAAGGGGAGAACGCACCCGTACAGCAAGTCTATACAACTTTAAAAAAAATATGTAACACTCCTGGCTCCCTTTCTTTACCATAAATGCAGAAAAATCGCGAATCAACTTTAGTCTATACCTTTGCTTTACATGCTTCGTGGAAAAAATGAACAGAGGAGAAAATGACAGAGGAAAATAAAGGCAAAACAAGTGGTCCGAGTTATTTAATTGTAAAATTCAAGGAAAAAAGGAGAATAATGAAAAAAAAAAAAAAAGTATCAAAGTTGCCAGCTTGCGTTTGTCACAACTTACTGCGAGGCAAGATTTGTAAAAATCTTCGAATGGGTGACTATGACTAATGCTGCTCGGAATATGTGGCCTAACTCGGGAACTGAAGGCGGAACAGGAATGTGCGTGACATCCATACCCTCTTCGCGTCAATTCTACTTCCTTTAAAGTGAGAAACCACCTCTATTTTTAATCAAACTTTCCATGCAGAGATTGGGCTGAAAATATAAGCAGGGTTGCCAGAGCTGTCCGATGAAAACACAAATAACTACCTGGAAACTTGAGAGTGGCCAGTGGCAAAGGTGCTTATGTATTCAATCCTATATCGGCTTAAACGGTTTGATTTAGATTACCTCTAAATGCACATTTCTACAGCGTAGACTATTTACTTTTTTACGAACTTAACTTTAAGGGGTTTTCTTGAACTTGGGAGTTGATTTTAGTGAGAATAAGAGGAAATATCGTATATCTCGCGACATTTACGCAGAATCGAGTGGTTAAAATGAAAATCTCAACAGCATGTAAGAGCTTCATGAAGGCATATAGAGCTCCCTCATAGCAGAGAAAACAAAAATACAAAAATACGGCCGAGATAAGTCAACTAAAAAACACAAAGAACGGGTAACCGAGGCTTCAAAAAAACAACTCACAACGCCTGTGACGTTCTAGGGTGGGTTCAACTCCCTCTTCGAGCAAAAAATAAAAATGTAAAAAAATACATAACAAAATATTTTTTATTAATAATTATCTCGATTTTTGCAATTTCTTTTATATTTTTGTAAACTGATGGTCAAGGAAGGGTTAAACCACCCGAACCGTCCCAGGCTTTGTGTTTGATTGTTTTTTAGCCTTGATTACCCGTTTTTTGTATTTTTTTGGAGAGAGAGAGAGAGTTAAGAACAGGAGTCACAGGTCCTGCTGAATTGATTTTCAATTCGTCCTCACGAATAGTTCGTAGCGCAATTCCTAATTTTCGATTAACTCATCCCTGTTTCAACTTTCTTTGTTTCCCTTGTTCCCTGCAATATCCGAAATTCCCTAGTCCCTCCCGGTTTATAATCTTTGCAGCCCATGAAAATATGATCTTTGTGACAATTGGACTACATTATGCAATTCGGAACTATAATTTCTGGCTCATTTGTAAAAACACGTATGTGCATAGGAAAGCTAATGGTGCACACATTGTTTCTAAACTAAGTCAGAAATTATAGTTCCTAATTGCAAAATGTAGTCCAATTTGTGACACCATAAAGCGTCCAGCCCACAATCAAATTGGAGGCTTCAAAGAGGCTCATCGATGGCTTTCCCGGCTCTCCCAATGGCCAGCGGTGCAAGTTGGAGTAACAGATGAGTCTCTTTGAAGCGTTTAGTTTGTACGTGGCCTGGACGCTTAAGTCGTGATCACATTATCATAATATTCGTCAATATGAACCCGAAATGATGTCACAACCATTTCGTTTCCGTTAATATTTTACAACTTGCTGAATATGGATGGATTTATCGTTACGTCATTTCCGGTTCGTGTATTAAATAATACATTGATAAGGTGACCACGACTAATATTGATCCACAGGATTTCAGTTCTGGTCGCATTATCAATATTCTCGTAAAATCTTGAAATTACGTCGTCAGTAAAAACCGGAAATGACGCAATTACCGCTTCCTCAGTATTTTGACTTCATTTTGCGATTTGGAACCACTGTGGTACTTCAGGTGCATCCATCAAAGCACCGATCGGCATTGGGAATTATTGGCAAATATGTTCTTTCTGAAATCAGTCGTAAAAATTGGCATTTATTGCAAAATGTAGTCTGAACATTGTCGGAAATGGACTGGCGTGAGGTCATTTCCGGTTTATACCAAATGCGGAACCTTGACAAATGGACAAAAATATTGATAATGCAGGTGATCAGAGCTTATTGTTAGAGGCCACCCTTGAAGTATTTAACGCATTTTTTTAGCTTTTTTGGCCCCTTCCTCCCTCCCCCCTTTTAACGCTTTTCTGACGTAGGTCCCTATCCTTCAACACGTAAAAACATAATGGCGGATATGGCATATGGGTGGATCTCTTTCACCCCCTCCCCTCTAGAGCTTAACGTAATTTAGGGGCGGCTTCTACGGTTCACAATGCCAAAATATCGTAGAATATGATTAAAAATCTGGCAACAGCGTCTGGAAAATGCCGACGGTGAGCTCGGGCGAAGATTTCGAGAACTGTTGGCGCGTAAATGGATTGCCAGGCGAGGAGCCAGCAAGGCCTGTTAGTTAGCCCTTAGAGAGCTGCGCTTACCCGCGCAGGATTGCCATAATTACCGAGGAAATATAATTTCAGCACTGAATTCGCCTTTTTCCACGATGAAAATTGGCAACCCTGCTCCGCCCCGTCCCGACGCCGGCGAGCCCGTCGCGGCAAAAAGTCATGCTTCGGCGGTCTTTCGATCTCCGCTCTCCGACGTCCCTCCAGCGCCCAGCGTTGCCGGATTTCCGATAAAACGGTCAATTTCTGCTTAAAGTAGTGGATTTCCGGGTGTGATTAGCGTGGGATTCCAGTGCGAAGCGGCAACGTTGCGGGCTACCGTCCTTTTTTTCTTCGGCTCGGCTCGCCTCCGTCCTCAATCCGCGCCCGCCGCGCGGGTTGCAGCGGTGAGATTTGAAGGCGCTTCGAGCGTGATGAGTCTTGGCACGGTGTTGCCTCGCTCCTCCTACGGGCGAAGTTCGGATCGCGTTTGTGGCTGAAAACCGACCGAAATTGTAAAAAAACCGAATGGACCAGTAGACAAGGCACGAATTTTAGCATTGTGATACACACACTGGAAAAAAAAGAAAGAAAAAAAAGAGAAAAAAACATTGGATCTAGAGTCCAGACTCTTCAAAACATCGACAAGAAAAAATACTCTTGATTCAATCGGATGTAAGCGTAAATTAAGAACCAAGCCTTTTAATTTGAGCGGATTTCCTTCTGATTTAAGCTTAAATCTGATTGATTCAAGAGTATTTTTTCTTGTCAATGTTTTCAAGAGTTTGGAATCTAGATCCAATGTGTTTTTTTTTTTCAGTGCGTTTCATAATCAAAATTTTAAGTAGAACACGATGCGCACAACGAAAATTACCGAAATCAACGCCTTACGAAGATATTTAATGATTCTTGATGCGTGAATTCAAACCACCCGCTCATGAAAGCTCAATACTCTACGTGACAAACATCGCGCGCTAAATGTTTATCATGAGTCTCTGCAATATACAAATCTGGCAACCTCAATCTTGACGTTTTGGCTCAGCTGTAGCAAATTGCTAATAGTTTGAACAACACATGGTGGGAAATGAACTTTGCTCGATTGAGAAGCTTGCTGAAACCGTTGCGGTGCGCGATTTGACTCACGTAGAGCTTTGAGTTTCTTGTGAGCAGGCAGTTCAAATTCCTCGTAACAAATGTGAAATAAAAACGTTGATATCTTCGTTAGGAGTTGGTTTCAGTAATTTTCGTTGTGTGAATCGTGCAAATCGTACGTGCCCAGTTCTGTTACTTTCCGCTATTGTTTGCACCAATACGTCTAATATGACCTCTGACGTTCATTCATCGCAGTAACAACCTAAGAACCAAATTGCTCGAACTGACGCGTCCTTGCGGATCGGTGGCGGGGCGTGAATCGCGATATTTCGATTGTCATATAATTTAAACTTATGGTAAAGAATCGATTATTAAGGTGTTTGCTGCGAACACCCTAGTTATCAATCCTTTTTCATAGGTTTAAATGGCATAAAAATCGATATATCGCAAAGCACGCCACGCCACTGTTGCGGATAGTATGTTTACGTCGTAAAGTGCACGAGGGAAGGCCGGGGAGGAGAAGGGACCGGGAACCCTAGCGCGCTGTGCGATCTGCCATTTAAATCTATGGAAAAGTATCGAGAAACAGGGTGTAACCTTAATAATCGATTCTTTACCTCAGCTTCAAATGGGGAGAAATCGATACCACGTCTCGCCACCGCGGGGACCACGTGAGCTCGGATCCGTCGGACGGAAATTAGTCCCGGGCAGCGCAGCGGGAGCGAGGGACGTACCGCCCTGCTATAAGGAAAAACGTCGTATGAACATTCGGGAGTTGCCAAATTTCCCTCGATAAAATGGTTATTTTTGATGAAAATTATGCATATTTTTCCTTGAAATTTTCAGGAACTTTAGGGGCGATTGCGAACTAAATTATCT